CAGAAGGTGTGCATACTTGTGAGACCGTCAGTGTAATTGATCAGCGTGTAGCCCACCTATCATCAGATGCTAGTGCTAAACCTGAGCTGATAGTAAAAGACAGCAGTGGTAGTAATCTTGCAGTTAGACAAATTTCTGAAAGCCGAAAAAAACAGCTTCTGATCCACCGCTAAGTTCATCAACTGGTATCAATCAGTCGTCGTTGGTGTTGTCATCCACAATGAAACAGACGCCCATCAACTCAAGTATCTTGTGCAATGACTATGATAGTATTGGTGCATTTGAAGAGACGAAAGATATTGGTCAGTTTAGTGAGGATAAGCCAAGTGTAAACGAGAGAGTAATTGTTAAATTGACTTGCATGAATAAAGGCATTTCTAGTTTCAAGTTACTATTTGAATGTTATTATCTTTGGTGTAAATTACTCTGTTTCTACGCTTGGTTGATGAGATATGTCGTGTGTTTGTTGGTCATCTATATTCTACGATACAATGACATGGGCGTGTTGCCGTTCAGATTTGAGGATATAGCTGATAGAAGGAAGTTTGCAAATGAACTCTGCGACGATTTTCCAACCTAGAGCGTCAACCTGAGAAGGGTTGTAGGCGTACTGCTGTAAGTCCTACAATTCTTCAAAGGGTAGCGCATCAATGAGCAGTCCAATGTGCTTGGTGTGTGATTTTGTACATATGTTCATATTGTATATACTGAATTGATATCATCTGTCATCTAGCTGTTGGTAATTCTGTTTGTGTCCGGACGACTTCCACTTGGATCATCAACCTGAGAAGGAATGTAGGCGTACTGCTGTAAGTCCTACAGTTCTTCAAGGGTAGTTTGTCAAGGCAGAATCCACAACATTTGATGTGTTGATTGTACATATGTTTGTGTTAAATAATTGTGTGAGTTCCAATTATTGTAATTGTTGGTTAATCTTGTTTGTGTCCGGACATTCCACAACTTACAATCGTCAACCTGTGAAGGGTTGCAGGCGTACTGGTGTAAGTCCTGAGATTCTTCAAAGGAATTCCATCAAGACATGATCAGCGAGTTTGTGTGTACTGTTTGTATATACGTGTGGTGTGTCATATCAATTGGTGTTTTTTGGATTCATTGTGTTTACTCGTTGTTTTCGTATCTTGTTGTTATTGAATAATTTTGTTAAAATTTTCGTCGTGATTACTTCTGAAGTTGTTTCGAGTCTTCTACATCCGTGAATGAATTGATTGATGTTAGAGACAGCAGATGGGTCGTATACGCCGGGGAGGCTAGGCTATTGCTGAGAATGAAATGCACACGGAGATAATTGTTAGCTGCGGTCCCACACGCCGGGGAGAAAGAGTGTAAACGACTGAGGCTCGCATACGTCACCGTTACTAGAATTGAGGCAGAATGAGTGACAAGCGATTTCAGTGGTAATTGGTAGTGAGTAGATAAGAGGATGAGCGTAGAGTATCGTGAGGTACTGCCATGGTCACGTCGCATTCTGCAAGAGTCATTCTAGCAAATGGCGATTGTGTTGCAAGATGTCAAGAAGATACCTTTACCTGGAGGCGCAGGTCGTCATCGATGTGTGAGATTGTGCAGTGGGTATGCTTGTGGTGTGTTGGCTTTTCTGTTTGTTTTCCATTTCAGCTCTGTCCGAGTGACCCAGGTTCTCGCAATGGCATCCAAGTCAACGTGTATTGATCGTGATGGAAAAAAGGAATGCCGGCGAGTGTCAATGAAGTTGAAGATTGAACGATCAATTCTTGGTTGTTTGCTCAATATCAACTTCCCCAATTTTCGCGGAGGCATCAATACGACAGTCATCGTCTCATCGGTCGCTGTTCAGAAAGAAGTAAGCAGAAAACCGTCAGAAGTAATATTGTGATTCATTATTGTAATATTTGTTCACAGACCTTAGTTGTAACATTGCTTATATGTTGGTGTAACAATAGAGAATCCTCGAGTGGCCAATCGGTGTTTTGGTTTTCTCGTCCGTTATTACTAAGCGTTTCTGAGAAGCTTCAAGGAACAGCGTGAGCCCGAGCGTAGCAAGAGCTGGGCATTAACGGTTTACGAGACGTGGCTTACACTACCCTTCGTGGCCATTTTTTAGCACTTCATTACATATATATAAACGTCTTATTGAAATCATGCGCTGTATTTCGGGGCTTCTGATAGGTCAAATTTGTCGTTGTCAAGGTCATTTATCTGTTCGCTAGGTAGTTTTTGCTCGGGTTACTTTAATTTAGAGTTACCGTATGCATGATCTTATTTGGTTTAAAAACAACCTTCCACATGTTAATCAACTTACTCGTACGAAACAACCATGCAGCGGGGAACGGCGGCTGACCTAGGCGCAGTTAAAAATCCGTTTGACAATGACCAGTGTTAATCTACATTGAGAACAATTCACTTCTGGCGTCACCTACAATGAAAATGCTTACAAAATTATGCAAATACATCACCTACTATAGGTTGATACCCAACTTGGATATAGATCAAGAATAAGACTCGATGCCATGCACACCAAAGTTATATGGGGGAATTGACTCTAATTATTGAATTGAAATTTTGATCTTCCCGTCGATTGATTGGACCGAAGTGCTCGGTCTCAGGTTGACATGTTGGCTTCTTGTGCAGATGCTTCGACGATGTCTGGAGATTTGATTTGTATACAATTGGTGAATGGTAGCTAGCAGTGGAATCCAGGATGCGCATTTCGTCCTAATCGGGACTCATCAGCTGGATGTACCTGCATTTCTCAGTGAGTGATGATGTTCTCACCGTGGCTCGTGGCCTAAGTGGTCTAGTGGATAACGCTTTGGCGCTTGAAACTATGGGCACTGGGTTCGAGCCTCGGTGGGAACATCATCACTCACTGAGAAATGCAGGTACATCCAGCTGACGAGTCCCAATTAGGAGGAAATGCGCATCCTGGATTCCACTGCTAGCCACCATCCACCAATTGTATACGAATTGACTTCAAGCTTAATTTTTACCCAAGCATTTGTAATCTATCAAACACATACTTTTATTTTTTCGTCAATTTGAAGAAAATATTTCTATATTTCTTGATGGGCTACATTTAACGACTAGTAAGAATTTGTCTCCACAAAATAAAACCTAAAATGACAGCAACCATGTAATTTCACCATGAACCAAATTTATCTAACTTAAATAATACCTATCCACGCCTGTTAAACTGGTGTGGCCTACATAGATAGGAATAAATACATTATTATATGCTTTATCAACAGAACATTAGACTAAATAATATATAACATGCTTAAATTCGAGAACCGAATCGACAATACTGTTTGAAACGAACCCACTGTTGTTTTTGTATTTGCTATTCTCATTTCGTACTTCGAATATTTTTGAATTTATATCGTAGATGTGGTTAGTTTTATTAATATTCTGAGTAAATCAGATGCAATATTGTAGCAAATGCTGAAAATTCTATTCTGTATTACAAGCACTGATTTTGAAATAAAATAGATTATTATAATTACCATAATTTAAAAATGCTAAGAAAAAACAACTTTCATCCTACTGGCACTGAAAAACGCACGAAAATGAAGACATGGCGCGGATGCGTCTGAGTATTTCTGTGGAAACAAGTTGTAGGTATCTAAGGCAATTGTCATCCGATCAGATCATGTTTTAGAAAAAAAGACGTGCGAACAGGAAATGTTTAATGGGGAGAAGTCAATTTTCATAGCTGCGCCAGTGACACAATGGCAGAATGCCCGCAGAACACACATGTGGTCCAGGGTTCGATCATCGGCTGCCGCACTTTTCTACCTCGCTAAGCCAGTAATCAGACTGGTAAATAAGAAGGGCTCGCAACTCCATCAACCACTGCTACAGAAACTTCAAGACTCTAGCTAGAAGCCCTAAGTTCCACTGGGAATTTAAAGAAACATAATAAGAATAAGTAATTTTTCGGTAACTAAATTTAGGTCTCATGGAAATACAAGCGTATCTTTGAGCAATAATCTGTTACGATTATCAGGCGATCTACAGCTAATATGAGTTTGGAACAAGACTTTGAATTAAAATTTTTACTTCTGTTGAAAAAGGTGCATAGCATAAGGTAGAAACACAAAGTACATAATAGATTCACTTGAAATGCTGTGTATAGAGGGTTAAAACCTGGTTGAATGACAAAAGTGGTAAGTTAATATCCCACACAGTAATAAAGTTAAATCTATAAATAGGTAAAATATATCTACCAACACATTATCGGTGTATTTAAAAGATTTGAGAGGTTTCATTTATATCATAGGTCACCATGAATCCCCTAAAGAGGCCACAAAATTATCAATGCAACTACAAATATACTAAAAAGTGGTTTCATTCTCAAAATAGGTGACCCTAGACATAGTAGGTCACAACTTAAAAACAACAACATAATTTTGCACAATTGACGCACGAAGTCTCAAAAAATTATGAGCCATAACATAAGCATTTACTAGAATCACCAGAGGAATATTCATTGCTTTATGTACTTTTCTGGTTAGGTCTAAACCGGAAAACTGTAAGCAGGCAGCCAGCTCTTTTCTTTAAGGGGACTCATACATTATAGAAGAGTTTCATAAGAAGGCGGCGCGTATGATTCTTGATATGATCAATTTTTTAGTACGAGGAAAAACCCTTAAGTTTGAATCTGGTGTCCTTCTCATGCCATAGTAAAAGAGATCTCATTACAATGTTTAGAATTCTAAAAAATTGCTGTGAGCCTAGTGCATCTTCTCCTTTTCCTCTCACCAGGTCGGATGATCTCGTGGGATACAGAAGGATATTTCAAGGAGGAACTACAACGCTGTGTAGTACCGGGTCTTCAACGAAGTCATCCATCATTAAAACTGACTCCCAGAAGCGGTATCGGCCCACTCAATTCGCTCATTAGAGAAGAGTTTAGACAAGCTCAGAAACTTTCCAGAAAAAGAGTAATGTAGGCTTAAAGTCTCCTATCCTCTATCTATAAATCTGAATGTGATATTGGATATTGATCGCTTACCATCAGGAGGTAAATCAACTTTGACCTTGTGGATGGGGTCACTGTGGTTAAGGAATATATTTGGTTATCGCTTGAGTGAATCAGAATTGCAAAATGTCCCCTATCCAAAGACAGAATTACTTCTGCACGTTGGTCTTAGAACCACTCAGGTTTCATGTTTATTTGGAGCCGTGGTATGCGCTCCAGTAGCAACTATCCTATCAAGTATGTAGTTGTTAGTTCTCAAATTAATTTTAACACAGCCCCTAGAACCTTCAGACGTTTCACCTTAAGATTCGCCAAGTATGCTACCTATGCTGTTCTGCCAGGAGTTGCTCTTGGTCCAGTATTAATGTATATACGACTACACGATCAGCCAGACGAGGCAATTTACGACAGGTGTTATCGCCTAAGATGTAACAAGCATCAGGTATAGTCATTAAATTTTTTAAGTCCACGTTTTGTCCAGGCTGTGTTTATTTTCAGTTAGATAAAAATCGTCAGTCTCTGAATTTACTTTTGTGTCCCAAGTGAAGATTGGTAGTACTGTTCGTGGTCGTTACAATGGTATTTAGTCAGTTTGCATTTGGGAAGCTTCTGCTTGCTGGTACCTGCGTTTTTTGCATCTTTCGGTTTAGATAAGATACAGGACTGTACTAGGATTTGGGAGAAACATCAGATGTACGTAGTCCCCGATTTTTTCTCTACTCTTGTGTTCTCTATGGAATGTGTCAATTAACTTGGGCAAGGACATTTTAACGATCGGGGTTATTCACAGAAGTCCTGCTAGTCAAGCTGATAACTTCGTTCTAAATCACTTGAGGGCGTGAAGTATTAGAAATTGGCTTCTGGTTGTTGGTGACTTAAACGCTCCACATGTTAATTGGAGGGGGCGGTGTTAAGCTCCACTAGTTTGTATACCAATAGGGAGCTCAAACTGACAGTGTTTGAATGTGCAATCGTGCTACATATGCATACACCAACACGGTATCACCATGAACCTGATCCTTCTACTCTAGACTTGGTATTAACATACCAGAAGAAAGACGGTAATATCATGTGCCTTCCACTGCTTGGCAGCAGTGACCACGTAGTCATTACTTTTACGTTTAAGACTCATTCTGCCATACATGCATTTGGAAAGCGGATATAACGGGAATCCGGAACGCAGCAACTGTAGCTTACTGGTCAGTTGATACAAATCGGAATGTCGAGGAAGTTTGGGTGAGATTTAGGAATACACTAGATTGTGTTAGTTCACCTTTTGTACCTTGGTACACTCCTCAAAAGCTCTCGCATAAGCCACCTTGGATTACTAGTGAAATAAGGAGACTACTAAGACGGAGGAAGAACTTATAAGACCAATTTATTATGACAGAAAGGGAAAATTTCTAGGACTACCGCAAAATTCGAAATCTCTGTAAGTATGTGATTGATAAGAGTCGTATGGTGTACGAGAGACGGTTGGTACTAGATTGTGTTCATTATCCGAAAAGGCTGTACTCGTATATTAAACGTAGGACTAAAACTAGCAGTGGTATACCGTCACTTATGAGCATTAGTGGAGAAGCGGCTGAGTCAGACAAAGGAAAGGCTGTGAATACTTCTGTGACGTCTTCTCGTCTGATTGTATCACCCAGGGAAATGGCGAGGTCACTGCTAACGCCACTCAGATGCCCTCAATTGTGGTAGAGCACACAAAGGTCCTCAAACTGCTGTCTAAACTGAAGTCAGGTAAATCACCTGGGCCCGATGGACTTCACCCAAAACTGTTAATTTCCTTAGCAAATGTAATATGCATTCCACCTACGGAAATTTTCCGAATGTCTCTGACCCAGGCTAAGCTACCCAGGGACAGGAAAGATGCCATTATAAGCCCTACCTTCAGAGAGGGGAACAGGCAATTGGTGCCTAACTACCGGCCGGTAAGTCTAACATGCATTACAGCAAAGGTATTGGAAACTATTATAAGGGATCAGCTACTAGCTGCTGTTGAAAAACATGGCTTGCTGGTGATAGAACAGCATGGATTCCGACCAGGACGATCCTTCCTGACAAACCTACTATTGGCTAGGGAAGACTAGGTTGAGGCCAGAGATAAAAACCTGTTGGACGTGGTTTTTATTGATCGTAGTAAGGCATTCGATAAAGTATCCCACTTAGGTCTCCATAGGAAACTTAAAGGTTTTGAACTAGACCAATGCCTATGTGAATGGTTTAGGGATTACCTAATGGATAGAAGGCTGAAGGTTAGAGTTAACGGTGTAGGGTGGAAAACAGTATCCAGTGGCGTGCCTCAGGGAACTGTATTAGGCCCCTTGCTATTCCTATTATAGGTTAATGAACTACCGGGGACTCTTACTTCATCTTCATTATTATTTGCGGACGACATCAAGATCTAGAAAATAATAATAACGATGATAGGTCGGACCTACAAACTGATCTAGATAAATTAGGTAAGTGGTCGAGCCTGTGGAGTTTGGAAATTAATTCTAGGAAAATTTCGGTAATGCACTTAAGTCAGAAGTTTTATACGCTGTACTCCCTGGGGGACACAGAACTACCTGATGTCAACGGACAGAAGGACCTCAGAGTAATTGTCAGCAATGATTTCAAAACAGCTGCAAATTGCAATGCATCCGTAGCCAAGGCTTTTCGAATGCTATGGGCACTCCAAAGAGCTTTGAAACGATTAGGTCAGTCTATGTTCAAAGTACTCTAAGCAACATATGTCAGACCGCATCTAGAATACTGCATTGAGTCAATGCTTTAAAAAGGAGGCACATATCCTGGAAAGAGCACAGAGAGTAGGAACCAAATTAGTTAGTGATATCTCACACCTTCCTTATGATACGAGGATGGAGCATTTACATTTCTTCCCATTATCATACCGAAGGAGCAGGGGCGACTTAATTTTGGCATACCATATGTGAAAGGGTGATTTAGGGATTGATCTTTCAAACCTTTCCTCTCCCTCTAGGATGCATTTACAAGGTAACCACAAGGTGCTCAAACCGAGGACGATTAAAATACGTGCAGAATTTAGATTCCCCCACAGAGTAGTTAACGACTGAAACTCCTTACCTGATTCAATGGTAACAGTTCCATGGGTGAACGCTTTCAAAGAGAAGTTAGGTCTCTCCAGAGATATATTTTGCAAGGATTAACAGTGGCCGCAAGAGTCTACTATCCTTATCATCTGAATTTTCACTACTCCTCAGAAGTGTAGCAGTAAAGACTTAGTCAGTCAAGTAATGTGGAACAATTACTTATTCATATTAGTGAAACAAGCTTTAAAAAAACCTGTAATGCGTGAAATGATTCTCGGGAAGGACGGTACCGTCCTACAACATAAGGCAGAACCCGATGGTATAGCTCCAGAGGTATTTAAGGATGGTGGTGGTTGGATATTAATCAAGTTAACTAAGCTACTAAGTAATACCTAAAAGTCGGAGATAGTTGCTTCAAACTGGTATGAGTCATGGATTACTCCGCTTTATAAGGGAGGAAATCTCTCTGCGGTGATCAAAAGGAATCAGATTTATATGGTATTTAGGAATCTAAACATTTAATTGTTAAGCAGCGCTCGGGGTAGACATTAAAGCGAATTAATATGTGTATCAGTGGTAGAGTGCCAATTCAATAACATTCAACTGGCACTGAATATATAAGAAAGCTATGTACCTACGACTGTTGGAAAAAAACTTCGGCTAGCCGAAAGTATGCATATGTCTGCACGGAGAACATGTTTAATTGTGGGTGAATTTGGGATAACATTCCTACGTTCGTAAACAGGTACCTATGATCTTAAGTAATCACAAATAAGAATATTCTGGCTTTAAAAATATATAAAGATCACTTTTGTTGGTGTGAAGAAACCGTGGAAATATTCATGACACAGTTTCGTATACTAGTGTAAGCCCACGTAAACTAAATAAATTCTCAGTAATTAAAAAGCTAGGCAAATTTTTCAAGGGTGTAGAATTTACAGCTTAAGGAGAAGATGGATCTTGCGATGAATTTCCTACCGCTAGGGCACGCGATTTGAAATCAACGTCCTATACTTTTAAACTTTCATATCCGGTTATTGACATCACCAGTTATGCAGTCTCATTGAAACTTTTGGAAATACCTTTTAAGTTTAGTTACCAGTTGAGAGCCAGAGAGTTTTAAGCCTAAAATTTGTTTCAATACGGATTTTACTAGTAGAAAGTGAAAACTAGATGATTGAAACTATAGGTCACTTGACATCCGTTTTCATCTTCGTTTGGGAATCCTCAGTAGTGCAACGTGGCAACTCGAACTGCTGCACTTCAGTGCCAAGTTCTATGTTGAATCCAGACAGACAGACAGTGCACATTCACCACCTCATGCAGGACTGTGCCAATTGTTGTCAGTTCTCTAATCAATTACTGCCAGATTGTAATCCAACTAAGAATAATATGTATCGTCTCGATTTAAAAGTGTAATGCGGTAATATTTTGCCGATAACTTACAACATCTAAAACTGATGAGAATTCAGTGGTCCAACTATTATATGATGTTTATTGTGTTTATTTTTGCAGCCAGCAAATTATATTGAAGCTTTTTAGTTGTATATATTATTTCTTGGCTGTCACCATAATTTCACCCACTTTTCAGCTTCGTGTAGATCGTTTCGCCTATATTGGTCTGATCTGGGGCGGGATCGCAGGTTTCGCTAGCCGGGTGAGGCCACTTGAAACATCAGTCGTTGGTATGGTGTTAGGATCTATAACAGCTGCTTGCTACAATCACGTTGAACATAAACTGTCAATACAGGAATAGGTTATCAGTTTTTTAATTAGATTAATTTTTCAGTATGTACATAAATGAAAAAGTAAAATGTTTTCATGATTTGTTCCAAGAAATTAGAAAATATAAAAGAAGTTTCCAAAAATTTAGTTTCCAGTTGTATTTAATTACTAGTGAAGAATATACAAAACGTTTGCTGATTATTTCGAATTCTGATAGCGAAGCATTTCACTAACTCTGATAATTGAAATTCCCCTGCACGCTAATCCTGTACTGCATTATAGTTATACTTCACACATATTTGAAAGTTACTCATAACCACTTCAAGTAGTTGAGATTGTATGATTTTAAGTATCTGGTTTTAATTTTGTTTTCCCTCATACAGTTTGTGCAGTTGTAACCTCATACTTTTATCTATCACTAGCGGAAAACGACTAAATTATTTCAAATATGACTGGATTATTCAGTTTCTGTCAACCAGGTTTTGTCGACAAGCAGTGTTTAACTTTCAAAGTTATGTAATTGCTTCAGAACAAAATAGTTGGTTAAAGCGAACAGTTGTTTTCAATAAATTCTTCTTCGGGCTCTACAATGATAAATCCACTAATTTAAGCATACAATAACCAGTAAAGGCAAATTAGAATCATATCATCAATGTATTGTGAAACAAGTATAAAATGGGATAGAACAATAGTCGGTCAGTTTTGAACGTGCATGGTCAATGAGAACATGAGATGAAGTAATTTACTGATGTGTGTATATACATAAATATAGTCAACAAAAATACAGGTTTCGAGAGTGAGTGTAATCAGTAGTGTGTGAGACAAAATGAATACTACAGAAAATAAACCAAGGGATGGGGTGGACTAGATATAAGTTCAAGGTTGAAAATAACGACAACAATAATGATTGTACAATAATAAAGATGTGGTGTAAACTTACACTCACTCTCGAAACCTGTATTTTTGTTGACTATATTTATGTATATACACACATCAGTAAATTACTTCATCTCATGTTCTCATTGACCATGCACGTTCAAAACTGACCGACTATTGTTCTATCCCATTTTATACTTGTTTCACAATACATTGATGATATGATTCTAATTTGCCTTTACTGGTTATTGTATGCTTAAATTAGTGGATTTATCATTGTAGAGCCCGAAGAAGAATTTATTGAAAACAACTGTTCGCTTTAACCAACTATTTTGTTCTGAAGCAATTGTAGGAATATTCAAGTCATATGATTGCATTAGGATTGTTGTAGAGTATCAAAAGAGTAGAGTATCAGTGCACCAGTTATGTGTTTGTTTCGATTTTACTCACAAAGAAAATAAAAGACAAGTCAACGAGAGAAATTCTGTTTATTGATGATTATTGTCCTTTTGGGTTCTGAGTTTAACACAGGGCTTCAGCAACACACCTCCATTCTACCCTGTTCTCTTCAGTCCTCATCAGCTGGCGCCACGACTACCCACAGATTCTCAGCTCCACTTCACACGATCTCCGTGTCACCATTAGACGCCTAACATGCCATTCCCCACTCAGGTTCCCCTCGAGCTTGTAGACTGGCGTGCGACGTCACCCGATGGTCTCCTCAACATGTGTTCAATCCATCTCCATTTCCTTTTAACAACAGGTTCTCGACTGTTTCATTCCCAGATTTCCTTGTTGCTAATCTTTTATGACTATCTGATCTTCAGTATGGAGCTAGCGAACGCAGTTGTTAAGGAAAGCC